TCAGCAAGGATGCAAAATACAAGATTAATATAAAAATATCACTTGTATTTCTACACTCTAAGAATGAACATTTTGAAAGTTAAATTAATAATTAAATTATATTTATAATAATAAAATACTTCAGAATACACTTTAAAAGAAGTACAAGACATTGGGGCACCTGGGTGGCTTAGTTGGTTGAGTGTCTGACTTTTGCTTAGGTCATGATCTCGCAGTTCGTGGGTTCAAGCCCCACGTCGGGCTCTGTGCTGACTGCCAACTCAGAGCCTGGAGCCTGTTTCAGTCTGTGACTCCCTCTCTCTCTGACCCTCCCCTGCTCACGCTGTCTCTCTCTCTCTCTCTCTCCTAGAAACACTGCTAGGAATTTACCCAAGGGATACAGAAATGCTGAGGCATAGGAGCACATGTACCCCAATGTTCATAGCAGCACTCTCCACAATAGCTAAAACATGGAAAGAGCCTAAGTGTCCATCAACAGACGAATGGATCAAGAAGATGTGGTTTATCTATACCATGGAATACTACATGGCAATGAGAAACAATGAAATCTGGCCATGTGTAGCAACATGGATGGACCTTGAGGGGGTTATGCTGAGCGAAATAAGTCAGGCAGAGAAGGACAAATACCATATGTTTGCACGTATAGGAGGATTAGGAGGAACTTGACGGAGGACCAAGGGGGAGAAGAAGGGCGGAAATGGTGGGGGAAAGGGAGAGAGGCAAACCATGAGAGACTCTTGAATGCTGACAAAAACTGAGGACTGATGGATGTGGGGGGGAGGGGGGGATGGGCATGAAGGAGGGCACTTTGGGGATGAGCACTGAGTGTTATGTAGAAACTAATTTGACAATAAACTATTTGTAAAAAAAAAAAAAAAAAAAAAAACATTTAAAAAAAAGTACAAGACATACACCGACAATTATAAATTGTTGTCTAAGGAAATGAAGGAATATTTAAAAGGTGAATAGATATTCCATGATCATGGATCAAATGACCTGGTATTGTAAAGATGACTTTGCTTCCCAGATACAAAACTATCCCTATCAAGATACCAGCTGCCTTTTTTTTTCAGAAATTGACAAGTGAATCTTAAAATTCCTGTAAAAAGTCAAAGGACTCAGAAAAGTTAAAGCAACCTTGAAAAAGAAGAACCAGGTTGAAATACTTACTTCCCAAGTTGAAAATTACTATAAAGCTACAGTGACCAAGAAAATATGGTGCTGGCACAAAAATAGACATGTCGATCAATGAAACAGAATTGAGAGCCCATAAATAAACCCACATGTTTATAATCAATTGACGTTCAACAAGTGTGCAAAGATAATTCAGTGGGGATAGAATAGTCTGTAGAAACAGTACAGGGACAACTGGATAAGAAACAAACAGATAAACATGGGGGGAAAAAAGAGAGAGGCAAACCAGGAAACAAATTCTAAACTATAGAGAACAAACTGATGGTTACCAGAGGGGAGATGGGCGGGGGGATGGATGAAATAGGCGATGGGAATTAAGGAGAGCACTTGTGATGAGCACTGGGTGTTGTATGCAAGTGATGAATCACTAAATCCTACATCTAAAACTAATATTGCACTGTATGTTAAATAACTGGAACTTAAATTAAAACTTAAAGAAAATCTCTCTCTCTTTTTGAAATAAAAATTTTTTAAAAAGAGGAGGGTCTCTTGGGTGGCTCAGTTGGTTTTGTCCAACTCTTGCTTTTGGCTCAGGTCATGATCTCATGGTTGTGAGATCAAGTCCTGCATTGGGGCCCACTCTGAGCATGAAGCCTGCTTTAGATTCTCTCTCTCCCTCTCTCTCTGCCCCCCCCACCTCCCTCTCTCTCTAAAACAAACAAATAAACTTAGAGGAAAAAAATTAATGTAGACCTTTACCACGTAACATACACAAAATTAACTCAAAATGAATAATAGACCTAAAAGTAAGAGCTAAGACAGTAAAGCTCTCAGAAGAAAACATTAAAGCAAATCTTCATGGTCTTGGGTCAGGAGATGGTTCCTTTGATACAATACCAAAAGCACAAGCAACAAGAGAAAAATATATAAATAGGACTTAAAATTTAAAACTTTACTTCTGCCAATAATACCATCAATAAAGGGAAGATAGCCCTTACAGTGGAAGAAAATAGTTGCAAGTCCTATATTTGATAAAAGACTTGTTCACAGAATATATACAGAGTTCTTAAAACCGAACAGTAAAAGACAAGTTTAAAAATTGGCGAGGCTTTAAATAGACATTGCTCCAAGAAAAATATAAAAATGGCCAATAAGTGCATGAAATGATGTTCAACATCATTAGTCATTAGGGAATGCAAATTAAAACCACAAGAAATCACCTCATATCCACTAAAATGGCTGTAATCAAAATGATGCATGATAATAAGTGTTGGCAAGGATGTGGAGAAATTGGAACCCTCACACACTGCTAGAGGGAATGTAAAATGATGCAGCCACTTTAGAAAACAGCTTGGAAGTTCCTTAAAATATTAAACATGGACCTGTCATATGACCCAGCAATTCCACTCCTAGGTAGATACCCAAAAGAAATTAAGACATGCATCCACACAAAAACTGGGCCTGACTATTCATAGAAACATTAGTGACATGACCCCAAAAGTAGAAATAACCCAATGTCCATCAACTAATAAACAGAAATAAAAAAGGTGATGTTTCTATACAATTCAAAAATATCTGACAATAAAGAATAAAGTGTTAATACATGCCATGATGTGGATGAACCCTGAAAATTATGCTAAGTGAAAGGAGCCAGTCCCAAAAGACCACACAGTGTATAATTACCTTTATATAAAATTTCTAGAAGAGGCAAATGTATAATGACAGACAGTAGATTAGTGATTATCTGGGGCTTGTATGGGGGAGGGGATGATGGAAGGGAACCTCCTAACAGGTAAGGGGTTTTCTTTATGACTTTCACACAAGTTAGATTGTGTGATGTTTGCATAACCCTGTGAATATACTGAGAAAGCATGAATTTAAGTGGGTGAATTGTATGGTATAAAAATGTTATCACAATAAAGCTGCTTAAAATGTACTGTCCGAGGCCATCTTTCCCACAGAGTAAAATTCGGTTGCATATCTGCTAGGCAAAATAAATTACATTGCTTTGGAAAAAAATCATTTGCACTCCTACCAGGTTTCTACAAGTTGAAATCCACTTTGAGGGAATTGTAAAATAATTTAGGCAATCAAAATTCAGTCAAAGAGGAATATCTAAGTATAATTAGGTAACCTCAGAAAATACTCTGGACAATGCCCAGCTCTCCACTGAAAGGATACCTGATAATATCTGTCCCATTTCCAAATCTAGGACTATCTTTCCTTGACATGCCTTTGAAAATTTCAGGCATGTTCCTATGAAAAGGCCTTTGCCAGTTCTGCTTCAAGGATCTTCATACGTATCTTAACCTGGCTGATTTTCCTTTCTCATTCTGGTCTCTGCTCAACTATTCTCTTCTCAGAGAGAGCTTCCATAAAATACAAATACTAGTTATCTATTACTATTTAACAAATGACCCCCAAAAGCTCTGGCTTTATACAACAAATATTTATCTCATAGTCATTCTCGGTCAGGAATTCGGGACCAGGTTATCTGGGTGGTTTGGGCTCAGGGTCTCTCATTCACCTGCAGTCAGGATGTTGGCAGGAACTGCTCTCATCTGAAGGTTTGTCTGGGGCTAGAGAACCAGTTTTCTAGGTGTTCCCTTTCATGGCTGTTGGCAGGAGGCCTCTGTTCCCTGCCATGTGAGCCTCTTAAGCTGCTTGAGGGTCCTCACCACATGAAGGCGACCTTCCCCCAGAGCAGACAATTCAACAAAACATAGTGGAGGGAGATGCAGTGTTTGCATGACTTGTTATGACTTCCAAAGTCATACTCCATGACTTCCACTTCAGTCTTTGTTTCAGGACCAAGTCACTACATCTAGCCTACACTCAAGGTGAGGGGAATTAAGCTTCACCTTTTCCTTGATTTTTTAAATGTTTATTTATATTTCGAGAGAGAGAGACAGAGACAGAACATAAGTGGGGGAGAGGCAGAGAGAGAGATGATTTCGAAGTAGGCTCCAGGCTCTGAGATATCAGCACAGACCCCAAAGTGGGGCTTGAACTCATGAGCTGTAAGATCATGACCTAAGCCGAAGTCAAATGTTTAACCAACTGAGCCACCTAGGAACCCCTAGGTTTCACCTTTTGAAGAGAGTAAGAAAGAATGTATGGACCTATTTTAAAACTCCATAACCCACTCCCCACAGACATACCCTCTTACCAGGTACTCTCTACTGCCTTATTCAACTTTTGTTTCCTTCACAGCATGTGAAAATATTGCTTAACATGGCAAGTACCAACTTCCCCACTATAATGCAAGACCTATTTAGACAGGAATTTTGCCATATCCCACACCAAATACTCAGCACCTAGAATAGCTAGCATATAGTAGCTCCATGACTATTTGGTTTCTTAAATATATGAATGTATGGATGAGTTACCAGAGCAAAACTAGGCCAGGAGTTATGACTCCTAACCTTATATGTTTCCCAATATTTTATCTCAGAACAATTCTAAAGGTGGACTATAACTCAAACAGCGATTTAGGGTGGGGGCACAGAGGGGATCCCTCCCAGTTCTCCATGAAGGCACTCCAATCAAGACTTCCTCCACTCTTCATAGATGCAAGACACATTGCTGGCTGGAGTTTAGGAAAGTCTTTTTCTGCTCCACACACACAAAACCCCTCCCATCTTCTAAGAGTCAATGTAGGGGCCTGGGGTGGGGGCACATGGGAATGGGAATGCGTCTGCATGCCCCACATTTCCTCCCCTACTTATAAAGGGTAAGTTGGGAAAGCAGCAAGGCAAGCCTGGACCCCAGGTGAACACAAGCATTACGTCCAGGTTTGAGAGTAAGAGATCTTGAATGCTACCTTGCATGTTCATGTTTGTTTGTTCAGGATTTAGCAGAACTTTTGAAGCCAAATGCTGATGTTCCCTGGCTCTGAGGAATTAGGAAATCCACACCCAGTTAGGAAGCGGATTGTAATGGTAAGTACATGGGATTGGGAGGTCTCCACTAATTTGGTGAAAGCCTTATTTTCCATACTTGTAAACTGGCAGGTGCAATTGGGGGAGTGCATAGATAACTTCACATTCTTACTCAGGTTCTAATATTTTCTAAAATTCAGAGATGTCTTAATATCCCTTGGATAGTCTCTGCCAGCTTCTTTCTGGAATCAGCATGGAATGCACTTGCAGTCCTCTCTCCCTTCTCCAGCAGCCTCTAGGGTCTAGAAAGCTGGGACCCCATTACACACACACACACACACACACACACACACACACAGAAAATGGAGCTAGTAGGGCGTCGTACTGCTTCCCTGCCTGTGATGTGCCCTGCATCTGCTTCCCAATAAAAGAAGAAAGAAGAGGGAAGAAAAACCAGTGTGGGGGCAAGAAGAATGGCAGCCACTCAAATGTGGAGATGGGGTTGTTATTTCAGAGCGATGGCGAGTTCACCAGCTCCTGGCAGGTACACATCTCACTGTTCCCCTGGTGTCCCTTCAAGAAAGCTTCTAAATCAAGACCAAAGGAGCCCTGGTCCTCAGGGCAACATCAAGTCTGAGGAGCCGCCTCATTAAGCCCAGTGTCCTGGCTGAAGGGATGGTGCAGAGAGTGGAATGGGGTCAAGGAATTGATATTGACTTTGTAATCAATTTGCAGGGAGAAAATGTCTTAAAATTTTCCATCTGTGTGCCTGCCTCTGCCCAGTGGAGGAGCAGCAGACTCAGAACAATAACAATGATGATAAAGAGGGAAACAACAGCCACTCTGTGTCAGCCCTGGCTCCAGACCACTCCCTTCCCTGCAGAAGGAAAGCACACGGCTCTCTGTCCCTGGGGAATGTCTGGGAAACCATACCCTGGCCAAAGAGTTGGGTCTTAGGGTTGGCACATTTCAATCAAAAGCCCTTTTAGCAGAGTGGAGGAGGAGGAAGAATAGAAAAGTTATTGAGAGGCAGGGTAGGAGGAAAAGGGCAAAAAACAGGGATTTTTACCCTAGGCCTGGGATATATGCAAGCTGTCAAGTGTGAAGGAATGTCGGGGCTGGGACAGCTCTCAGAGATGGTTCGGATGCCCTTTTTACTTTAGATGAAGAAATGGCAGAGGTTAAAGTCTCCTGTCCTAGTAGTGTTAGTGGGAAGACTACACGACGGTCCGGGGGCTATTGTTAGAGCTGCAGATGGGATTGAAAGGGTCTGAAGGGCACAAGAAACAAATGAGAACAAAAGATGCTGGCTTTCAGTGATCTCTAGAAACTGATCAACAGTATTTAGTGACTCACAGGGAGGGTTACAGTGAGGATGGGATGGAGGGCGTGCCTAGATTGCTGGCGTGGGGTACCGGGTGCGTCAGTGCTGTCGTTTATTAAGACAGGAGACACAGGTGAGGGTGTGAGACCGTGTTTCCCATTTGAGAAGAGTCAGGTGCAATGTCCAATAATCCGTTAGGCTTAGAGCTCCGGAGTGAGGCCAGGTCTGCGGGAAGATAGCGCACAGGGTGACAACGGCGGTCGCTTGAGCGGACTCGGGGGCACTCTGTGTCAACACAGCTGTAGAAGAGAATGGAGAGCAGGGCACTTGAAGGGCACTGGAGTTTGAGTGGCAAGGATGGAAAACAGAGCTACAAAACCTAAAGGGGAAAATGCCAGAGGGGCAAAGAAGGGGTAGGGAGTGGGGACGCGAAAGCCAAAAGCTGCTGATTCCAGCATCCGGAGATTGTGAGCCCTAGTGCGCAGAGCCAGGCTCCGAAGGCCTTTGCTCTTTCCTGTCTATCTGTCCTTCCATGGTCAGGAGGAGGCAGGAAAATCTCCACTCTGTGTGCCCTTTTCGGTCCTACTAGACCTCCCCATGTGATCGAGTTGTACAAAGGCTGAATCTACACAAAGGCATGGTTCCCAAATGTAACTTAGGATGGGTGTCTCTAGGATCAACCTCCACTCAGAGAGTTCCAGGGAGGCGTCACTGACCCCACACACTGAGGGTCTGGTGTGCGGATGTGACTCTTCCGGCCAGTCACGCTGCAGTCTTTACAAAATCTCAACCACCTGGACTGTTACTTGTTAGCAGACTTAGATGGGGGGGGGGGTGTGCAGAAAAGATGAGAGGAAAGAGGGAGAAGAGAAACAGGATGGAAGAGAGGAAAAGGAAGCGCAAGGAAAAAATCAGTGAAAATCAACATCTAAAAGGAAATCTACGCTTTCAAAGAATCGGCTTCCCTTTGAATTCAGGTAAGTGGGCTTAGTAAATAGGCAAAAAGCTTCTACTACAATGGTGAGAATCAGGACCTCAAATGAGCTCTACAGATCGGTGTGTAGGAGAAAGAGCACAAGGGTAAGAGTCACAAGACTTCAGTTCTACACTTGGTTCTGCCAGCGGTGAGTTGGGGTGAAGACCCAGTACCTCACTTCTAGAAATGTCTCCCCAGCAAGTGGACAGTCAAGGCTCTATGTGAGGTCCCACAAACAAGACTAACATGTAAGACATCATCCCTACTTAGAGGAAGCTCCTTGACGACAAGGCAAAAAGCACTGTTGGGAATCAAAACAGGGAGAAAAGGTTTGAATCCCAGGGAAAGAAGAGTAGGTTTTGAAAGATGAACATGATTCTTCTAAGAAGAGTCTGCACTTACGTAAAATGGTTTATGTAACAGAAGTTTTAGGAGCGAAAACACAGAGCAGATAAAGGATAAAGAATTGTTAGAGAGCCCTAGGCATCCATTTTCACTAAAGGATGATGTATACAGGAGGGCGTGGAATGGACATGAGTAAACCAAGCTTGATCAGCTTAGGGCAGGGGAACCATTGAAGGTCTTCTGTTATTTATGAGATTCCAATTGAAGTTTTGTCTCATTGAGATTAAGTCACCTTAGGTACTGCTAACTCATGAAGTGGGAGACACAGAATCTTGAAAGACCATTCTTTCAAGAATGGAGACTTGACTTCACTGAGCCTCTGTCCCTTTATCTACCCAAAGGAAGATTGGGGGCAAGCTTAGTATCTCAGGTCTTCAGTCTGTTCTAACATTCTGTTTCCATGTTTAACTAGTAGGCAAATGGAGAATAACTAGGCAAGTCACATTGCACGAAGGTACTATAGGTGACCTGAGGAAATTTGCCACTGATTGTATATACATCTATGTTGTTATTTTGAAAAGTAATGGAATGTTCCCCCAAGATTATTCAGTTTTTCAGTCTTATTTGATTACAGACTAACTTACTATTTTTCACATTCCTTAGGTACAGAAGCCATGTCCTATTTGTTTGTCACCTCACCAGTGTTTGGTGTTGAGTAGGAGCATCATGCATGTCTTGTGAATGCATGCGTTCGAAGGTCCTAACATGAACTCTATCACACAAACAAAGCACGAAATGGCCAAATGCTTAGTGTAACAGAGTGTGAGACCAAGCATCCAGCTCCTTCATGTTTCTTTCGGGAGACGATTTTCCCTGCTTATCCCCACCCTCCTTTGCATGGGCTTCTCCAAAACATTTTAAGAATGAGTAGCTATTCTTAATGTTAACTGTTCTTTTTTTTTTTCTTCTTCAAAATGAAAAGTTGTACAAAGTTATGCAGACAAGCACAGAAGTATGCATTGATCTCAAGAAACTGGGGCTGTCCCAGTGTGTTACCCCCATTATTTTCCACTTGGGGTCTCAGATGGGTTGGATGGGGCTTGGTATTCTTCCGTTTATTCCACGCCTTGCCCAGCCAGCTCCCAGAAGCTGAATCCTGTCTGGAACCTCAGATCTGTGGATTGTGGATTTCCCCAACATCCAGTCTTCATCTTTCAAAGGGTCTGCTCTGCCAGGGACCCATCCTCTTGATTTCAGCTCAACAGCCTTGCCTGTTTTGGCAGGACCTGCTCCCACCAAGCTTGGACATAGTTGTATGTTAGGGGAAGAGGAGTATTAAATTCTCTGTTACTTCTTGCCCTCCCTGAAATAGTCAACTGGACTCTAACACTGGGTTTGGGGAAGAATTTTATCCTGAAGCCATCTGGCGAGACAGAGGAAATATCTTTTTATATTCTGCTTTCCTCAAGAGTCCTGGGCCAAGATAGATTCATGTTTGTCTCACAAACAGGACATGACTGTGGATTCTGGGGCACCTCATTGTAGGGCAGTGGGGTCAAGGGGAAAAGAGGATAGGAAAGGAGGATGCTATTCTGCCTCTATCCATCACCAACTTGGGGACTTGTCTATAATCCAGCCTCTAAAACCTGTCCTTCCCCATTGATACATTGAGGGTGAGACCCTCAGTCTAGGGAAGCTAAAGCAAGAGAGGAATGGTGAAAGTGTGAGCCACACGGACACAGATGTCAAACCTGGTCTGTAGACTCCTCTATAAACAGGCTCTTTACTGTTTTAGGGATTTACAGCAGATTTGTTCATCTAGTGTAAGACACTGTGGCCCATCCAAATGACTTCTGCACAAGTTTGACCCAAAGTGTGCAACACAATTCCTTCTGCATCTCTTTTTCTCAACTTTCTCATGTCTACAGGACACGCTACATTTCAGTGTGTGACAGCACATCAAATAAAACTGAAGAGGAGGAAAGTGGCATCTAACCAAACTTGGAGTTCTTGGTCAGAAACTTGTACTGTATGAAGCAAGAGTCTGACTAAACCATTTTATATAACACTGCAGAGTAAAGTATGATGGTACCAATAAAGAATTTGGGTAAACCTTTAGAGCCTCTTGTTCTGAGCCACATTCACCTGTAATGAAGACAAACACCCATTAGTGAATGGGTGGTGATCCAAGACCCTGGTGTATTGGTGACCAAGAGACCAGGTAATGCTTTTGCTTTCACAGCATATGAATGGCCTCTCTGTCGGGGCTGTGGGTAGAAGCTTCCGTGACCCAGAGAAGAGTCCTGCCATCCTGAAGATGCTACACATCGTCTCTACACACTCTTTTCTTTTTTGTAAATTTGTGCCTGTTTATCCAATTGCCTTTTCTCTCTTTGCAGGAAGCTCATTTTGTCACGGATCAAAATTAGTCGACTGGGGTGTCCACTAAATCATCAGTGAGGTATGTGAATGGTCTGAATTGGTGTCTGATGTAGAGGAAAGCGATAATGAACCTGAGGTAGAGAGACTAGGTCGGGTAGCCTGAGGCCTGGGAAACATGAGCATAATATAGATTGCTACTTTCTGCCTTTGGGACAGTTCCAAGCAAATGTGTTTTTTCCACCTTACATCCCAAACTCAGGTAATGAGGTAGGAAAAGTTAATGTAACTGAGACAGAGTTGAAAACAATGAGGGTTGCCAGTCTGGCCTCCCGTTCTAATCACTTGCCAGATACTCACCCAGTCGAGCTGCTATGGACTGGAAAAGAAAGGTCTAGGAATGTCAGATAATTGGGACTAGGCCTGCATCACATCTCCTCATTTTACTTACGCCTGGCTGTGTAACACAGAGCAGGTCACTTCTCTCTGGGAGTTTTCCATCTGTAAAGTTATATTACGGCTAAGAAGTGACCTACCAGAGGGCAAAAAAGGGCAGATTTCAGCATCTCGGCCCCCCAGTGCTGCATTTGGGTGCTCAGCCTAAGGTCTTGATAAATAGAAACCAGATGCATGGGTACCATTTCCTGCTGTGCCTCCAATGCGAGGCCGAGAGATATTCTTTCTCTTCTTTGCTGATTTTTTTGTTTGCATGCATTGCTTATTTTCTCTGTAGGTTATGAAGATTTGGGATCAAAGAGGAGGGTTAGTGACCTAGGGTCTCTGTGGAAACTGGGTTTCAGTTGAGTCTGAGCACTTATTTACACCAGATAGGAGTGTGGCTAGGCATTGGTAGCTGGGAAATGGTGTGTCTGGCAAGGCAGGAGAGTAGGCACAGCAGAAAGGAGATAAAGCAGAAAGGATGGCAAGTTCAAGAATGGAGCCCCTAAGGGTCCCAGGACCCATGCAAAGGGGCCCAGACCTGCACAGATCCCTACAGTCATGAGCTAGCATCAGGAAATGAATTTACAAGAGACAATCGGTCCTTCAGCCCAGGGACTTCCCTTTATGGTCTGGCAGCCAAGGTCATGCGGGTTCCCCAGGTGAGGCCATGGAGAGCTGCTGCCTGAGCGGCTGTGGAAAGCACGGCTGGCAGATCCCCCAGATTCTCGAGATTTCCCCACTGTCCCTGGTATGCTGGTTAGGCCCGCCTCACTCCTTCCCCGCCTCTGACTCCCAGGAAAGGGATGCCAGCCTGCCTGCTTTGTCTGGGAGACTTCCGCTGTGTTTCTGAGAAGTGCTGGCCTTTGAGAAGAGGCCTCCAGCCTTCCTCCGGTTCAATCCAGCTACAGAAAGGACATTCATTCCCTACCTGCACCTTGACAACGGGGAGCCCACTCACCTGCTTTGCCAGGAGAAGAGTCATGCTGGCACACTCCTCTCTCTCTCTCTCCTCTCCCACCTCTTCTCAAAACTCACTCAACATAGGCTGGAGTACCCACCTAATTTAAACCATTCTTTAAAAAAACTTTTTTAATGTTTATTTATTTTTGAGAGAGAGAGAGACAGAACACAATCAGGGAAGGGGCAAAGAGGGAGACACAGAAACCAAGCAGGCTCCAGGCTCCAAGCAGTCAGCACAGAGCCAGACACGGGGCTCGAACTCATCATGAACTGTGAGATCATGACCTGAGCTGAAGTCCCATGCTTAACTGACTGAGCCACCCAAGCGCCCCTATTTTAAACCATTCTATTAAGAAGCAAGGGGTATGGGTAACTTGTTTCTGAGATCTTGATCGTCCTGAAGATTTCATAATGTGTTTTTGTTGAGTCATGTCTAATTTTCCCGGTCCCCAATTTTTTCTCTCATTCACTACTCCTGCCCCCCTTTGTTGGGTCCTCATTGTGTTGAACTCAGACACAGCAATATCTCCTGGGAACAGATGCACTGAGATACTGTTGCTCCCCACCCCACCCCCACACACAGAACCTCAGGACATGTACCTGGAAAAACAGGTGGCTTTTAATTACTGCTCAAGGCACTGCCTAATTTCTTCTTCTTTTTTTAAAGAAAATTTCACACCTGTAGAAAATAAGCCAGAGTCTTTGTTTTAAAATTCTACAAAACTGAGGGGTACCTGAGTAGCTCAGTCGATTAAGCAACCGACTCTTGGTTTTGGCTCAGGTCATGATCTCACAGTTTGTGAGTTTGAGCCCTGTGTTGGGCTTTGCGCTGATGGTGCAGAGCCTGCTTGGGATTCATTCTCCACCCCCCCCTTTTCTGCCCCTACACTGCTCTCTCATTCTCTCTCTCTCTCTCAAAATAAATAAGCCTAAAATTTTAAAATTACACAAAACTGAAAAGTACCAAAAAGGGCAAACAAACAAAAAAAATCACCTCCATGTCCATCATTAAAATAACCCTTACCAGAAACAACCCACAAAACTATTAGGCAGCCAACGGGATGGGAAAAGATAGCTGCAAATGACATATCAGATAAAGAGTTAATATCCAAAATCTATAAGGAACTCACCAAACTCCACACCTGAAAAACAAACAACCCAGTGAAGAAATGGGCAGAAGATATGAACAGACACTTCTCCAAAGAGGACATCCAGATGGCCAACAGACACATGAAACGATGCTCAGCATCCCTCCTCATCAGGGAAATACAAATCAAAACCACACTGAGATACCACCTCACGCCAGTCAGAGTGGCTAAAATGAGCAAATCAGAGAACTCTAGATGCTGGCGAGGATGTGGAGAAACGGGCACCCTCCTACACTGTTGGTGGGAATGTAAACTGGTGCAGCCCCTCTGGAAAACAGTGTGGAGGTTCCTCAGGCAACTAACAATAGAACTCCCCTAGGACCCAGCAATAGCACTGCTAGGAATTTACCCAAGGGATACAGAAATGCTGATGCATAGGAGCACATGTACCCCAATGTTCATAACAGCCCTCTCAACAATAGCCAAAACATGGAAAGAGCCTAAGTGTCCATCAACGGACGAATGGATCAAGAAGATGCGGTTTATCTCTACGATGGAATACTACATGGCAATGAGAAACAATGAAATCTGGCCATGTGTAGCAACATGGATGGACCTTGAGGGTGTTGTGCTGAGCAAAATAAGTCAGGCAGAGAAGGACAAATATCATATGTTTGCACGTACAGGAGGATTAGGAGGAACTTAACGGAGGACCATGGGGGAGAAGAAGGGGGGAAATGGTGGGGGAAAGGGAGAGAGGCAAACCATGAGAGACTCTTGAATGCTGAGAAACAAACTGAGGACTGATGGATGTGGGGGGTGAGGGGGGAGATGGGCATGGAGGAGGGTACTTGTGGGGATGAGCACTGGGTGTTATATGGAAACCAATTTGACAATAAACTATTTGTAAAAAAAAAAATAATAATAACCCTTACCAATAGTAAGTGAAAATCATTACTACATTTCTCAATGTATAGAGACAGGTATAATTTGACAAAAACGAGATCTTATTACTTTTTACTTTTTTAAAATCCAAAGTATTAACTTTGCTTGAATGTGAACAAAGAAAAAAAGACTGTTAGGAAACTTAAGTAATTGTTGAATATCAGAAAAATGTTTCCTGACCACATGAGATATTAATTCTTAGAAGAAAGTTCTTTGTTTGGGGTGGGGAGCCCGGGGGAGGAGTTGCAAAGCTTTAAGATTTGGAAATCACTCCTTTTTAAAATTCTTTTTGTTTTAGGCATTGGCTTTTCAGGCCAGAGCTTGCATTTTGCATGTCGTTTTAAGCTGTATTCTTCAGAAATAAAATCAGAATTCGCCAAGTGTTCGAATTACGCTTTACACTCCTGCTTCAAAACTTTTGCATTGTTCTTGTTATATAAATAGCACGGAAACTCCCCCTTGCACAGGCACGTCTATCCAGTGAGGGGGGAAGGGATGGGAGAGATTCAGAGGATCTGATCTCTGCAGAAAAGCCATTTGAAGGAAGCTGGCGTGGCTTTCTGCCTAATTCCCTTTTTCTTTTAACAATGGTGGTCTAACAACTATCTTTAGCCAGGTTTCTAGAAAATTCATCTCCCTACCCAAACCTGCCCTATATCATGTGACTTTAAAAATATTAACCCGTATGTTAATGGCACTTATGTATATGTGAATGTTCTTATAAAATTCCCTAAAAAATGGGAGTAGGTAGGTATCCTGAGTAAGTAAATGTAATGCTTAAAAAGCTGTGGGACACATTTCAGTACCAAAGTGGCACTCAGTTCAAAACACCAAGGCTTCAGGTCTTTGAACCTTGACTCACATCTCTCTTAACATTTCAGGAGGTTCAGTGATATAGGTCCAGGTCGCTTCTGGAATCCTGATCTTCTCCTGTTCTTTAGCATCCCAAACTCCCTTACCCCTCGCACTTGCATGCTGGGATAGAACTTTCCCTTTCATTCCTGCCATTTTGTCCTGCCATCTCCTCTCATCATGCTCTGCGTGTCAGCCATCAGTCACCAGAACACACTGGCATCTGAGCCTGCTGTATGCAGCGCCCCCCCTCCCTCAAGAATGTGTTTGTCCCGTCTCTTATCAGAGTGTGTAAGGTGGGGAGAAGATGAGCAGGCGACATCCAAATGTTCTGTCATAGGAAGAGAAAGGCAGAGAGGCTGTGAGCCTCACCGTGTTAATGATGTGCGTCTAGTCACGCTAGCTTTGTGGCTGCGCCCTTGGGAGAGGTGGTAATAGAAAGCGGGTGGCAGATTGTTTGAAACCTTATCATCTGCCTCTTGTTGATGTCTCTGCTTCTGGAAGCAGAGAGAGTGAGAAATTAAATATGTGGCAGTGATACCACCTTATAATCAGTGTTTCCAAATATCAGAGAGAGCTGATTTTCCTAGCATTCACAAGCATGGAGAAAGGGTCTTTTTAAAGGTTATTTTCTGTCATGGACCAAGGTTTCTTTGTTAAGGATTCTGAGTTTGATTCGTGTGTGTGTGTGTGTGTGTGTGTGTGTGTGTGTGTGTGTGGTGGGGCCTTGGGTGCAGACTGAATGGAGTAAAGAAAAGGAAAAGAACAATAAGAAGAAAAGTATGCATCAGGTGCTTTTTAAAAAATCAATCCAAACAAAACTAGCAAAGGGGGATGTCTGTGGACAGCTATGCTGGCTGTGGCCAGAACTGAAAAGAAAGGCGCTGCCTGCAGGGGCTGCGTAGCAACAGGGCTCTGATTGGCCAGACCTGAGCAAAGAACAGGCCCATAGCAGGGGCTCTGAGCTGTGCTCCTGCCGGCAGCTGAACTAGGGCAGGCCCAAGCAGGCTCTGCAGAGACATGCTCGAATGATCCGGAGTACAGCTGTTGGCTAACAGCACTCGTGAGTCCTGATAGCATTGGGCTCGCTAGCCCAACACTAACATTACAGCCCGCTGCCTCTGCCTGTTGCCCCCCTGCCCCCCGTGGGTTGGATTTGTGTCCTCACAGACTACCTGAGACAGGGTCCCACCAGCCAAGATGATGCCGTCAGAGACTGTCTCTGAAAGAGACTGGCCTGGGTGCGAGGAACTTGGTTTCTAGTTCTCCACCCAGCAGCTCAGTGTCAACTGAACAAGTAAGTTGCCTTATTGGCAACAAGTCTGGTCAATATTGGCCTGAAATTAAAATATTAGGATGAGCCAATAGTTCCTATTATTTAACGTAAGAAACCTGGAGAAAAGATGGAGAAAGCTCAATCATCTTTTTCAATGAGAAGTTAACATTAATAGTTATTGTGCGATGGAATCACAAAATAAACGCTTGCGAGCAGTTTAAAATGAATGAACTGGGTCTACCTGCCTAAAAAGAATAAATCTCAAAAACACTGTTGACTGTGGAGACTGGTAGGAACTCAGGGATACCATTTGACTCAGTGCCCCCTTCTTTCCTTCCACCATGAAGTCCCCCTTAACTTCCAGGAGCCATCTGGGAGGAGGGGAGCCCCACACCACTCAGCCTCTCTTTGGGATTAGTGTTATTTAACCGAAGAGACTAAAGTATCTTACAGTGGCAAGGTTGTTTTCCCAACAGCCAATGCTGCAGAGACTCAGATCAGTCATTCTTAGAAAATTTCTAAAAGCTACACGAGCCTCATTTTCTTTGTAGATTTGAATGCAGTGTGAATCAATCAGTACACAGTTCGGTTTTGTCCTCAGTCATGAGAATAAATATGAGCAATCACAATCAAGAAAGGCATACACAAGGAAGACCTGTCCAGAGCTATCTAGGAATTTAAATTCTCTATGTTCATTCCATTACCTCTTTAAATCCTTAATTCTTGTGAAAACATTACTTTTTGTTTGTTTTAAGTCAGTGCGGTGGCTTAAAAGGCTGTGGTGGAAGGTATGGAGTTTACATTTAGAATAGGGACTATGGTAAGTAGAAAAAGTAAACAGAAATTTTTTTGTGTGTGTACATGCACACACACATCCACATGCTGAAAACACAAGTGAACCAGAGGTATGCTCTGACATTAAGCTGCTAGGCAATTACCTGGACTATAGGATCAGCAAAAGCCCGAGTCCAAAATTCAGAAGGCAGTTAAT